TCGTTTTTTGGATAGGCAAATTATTATTTTTCGAAAATTTTTGGTCCGACGATATTGTCGTCCGTCGGACGTACGACAGTGGGGTTCAGGCATGTCCGACGGGTGGGAAAATTCCCCGTCTGGCGACACATCACTGGTTATGGGGACACTTTTGTATCCTGTCACAATAAAACTAATTCAAATTTAGATTGACTTTCAATACGTAGGCCCTAATATTTTTTTTTTCCTAAAATGGATATCAGTATTATAGCTCTATGTTGTGGTAAGTTTTCATAAATTCTAAAAATTCTAACAGTTGGGTTTTATAGGTTTATAATTCCTAATTTCTATTTGATGAAAGTCAACATTGACAATACAATACAATACAATATGTCTTTATTTATCCCACATGGGGTAATTCAATAAAAGGGTATGGATTACAAGCTAAAAAGATTAAGAAACTTACGTCATGAAATACAATAAAATTCAAAAGAATCAGTACGGTATTTAATCCCCAGCCGAGATTGTCCTCGAAGATTGTTCCTAAGTATTTAAATGATTGGACAATATCGGCCGGTTCGTCATTACTGTTACCCCACTTGGTGTATACCAATCTTGATAAAGTTAGAGCCCTTAGTAACAACCTGTGAACTTGTCTTGTCTCTGTAATAATAGTTATTTCATATTGGATTTCAATCCATAGCGTGCACCTGATTTCTTTTATTTTCATGTGCTTAATTAGAACAGTAATGATAACTCAAAATAATGGTCCCTTACCCATTTTAGGAGATTTTGGTGCCGAATGTGTCCTCTTATCAACGGTGATTCCTACTGCATCTTAAAGTGTCGGTTATAGTTACCATTATACACAGGCCTTTACTGGATAATATAAGCGTCAACGATGCATAAGAGGCATTTAAAAAAATGTTTCTGTTAAGCCAATGTATTATCTTTTGGTTTTATATTACATCATACGATCTATAGATAACATAATACGCACACGTGCTGGTATGTGTAAACTGGTGATGTCAATAAAAGGTATTGTAGGCCTAGTGTAGGCCTATAGGCCTATTCTCTGATATTACAAATTTGAAATTAAATGTGAATACCTTAAGATAATAGCAACAGTTGTAAGGGTGAAATAACTCAATATAATTGAGTCAATTTCAATTCATCTAAAAATCATATTTTACAATGCGTCATTATTGGAAGTCGAAATACAGCTTGGAAGACAAGAAGTTTAAATTCAATTCAAATTAGAATTTAGAATGAATAAAATACTTGCAAAATTTTACTAAAAAATGTCTCTAAATTAGAAATTCAGAGACATCATTATAGACTGAAAAAAATACAGCCTCATATCGTAGCCTTTACTTTCAAATGAATACATTTAAAACAGGAAATGTTAAAAAAAAAAAATCAATAAAATCTATTGTAAATGATACAGGCCTATGTAATTAACAACTTACGAGCTAGTCGAATTAAAAGGCTCAATATTGTAAGTAAAGTCTATTAAATACTTAAATAACACGATTGTAATAGAGGGCGGTAGACTATTTGAGTTATCTGTAAATCTCTCATAATTAAGAATTTAATTTTTTTATTTCTGTTGCTTTGTTCTTTTCTGGATGCACCGTTAGAATTTGTCTAACGTGTGCCACTGTTATAAAAGTGTTATCCAATAAATATTGTATTGTATTGTATTGTATTAATTCCATTATTGCTACAGTATATAGAAATTCTAACCTGCTGGATTTAGATTAGTAGAGGGGTATCGGGTGAATGTTAAATACATCCAATGACTCCTACACTCAGATAGAACCCTACCTGCAGACCCTCAGGTTTTGCATTATTTTCACACACATAATTTAAAATTATGGCCTATATAAAATTTAAGCTAATTTGCAAATGAACGCGGTGACAAAATGTATTCTATTCAGCATGTGATTTCTCTAGATTCGAACACACTGAACATAGCATGAGTTACATTTTGTAAAATTCTTTTACTTTTTTATAAAATTTGCTTGTCACAAAAACAGGATAGGGCCTAAGCTACGTAATTGATTCACACAAAACAGTTTAAAAAAAAAAGGGAAAAAAAATGAGAAAAACAATACGGTCAATCACTGCTATATGAAAATTCTCAGATTCAAGACTGACTTGCATATGTGCCGTAATTAAAATAGTTTGCCTATAAACGGGGTGTGCTAAATTGGTGATAAGTTTATTCAATTCAGTATTGTAACCTGTAGATTCAAGACAAAAATAAATTTCCATATGCGAACGTTTCTACAAAAAGGTGAAGGTAGGAGAATAACCCATAACTTGCAGCGTCATTGTGCTGAATTGCGTATGGGCGTGGTCTGTGAGTACCTAGCAGCCGTAAAGAGGCGCTTCTTGGTAGATACCATGTTGACATCATTCCACAACACAATTCCAGTGTTCTTATTCTTTTTCTGATTTCAGTCTTAAAATGTTCTTAGTTTGTTCATATTTTTACACACTTTTCAAACAAACAAAATTATTATTTTACAGCAGTATATTTAATGTATTATGGTATTACAATGAAACTTATTCCTCCGTGGTATTACATAGTCACTTTATTCCCCCTTGGTCACACCTGCTGCAAATAAGGACTTTAAACCGTAGCCCAGTGTACACGCATTAGGTTCGTGTGCACTTTAAAGAACCCAGTACAATTTCGAGAAGTGTAGGGTGGTGGGGGGGGGGGGGCTACCCCGGCGTACTGGTCCATTATGTCCCCTGTTCATTTATGAATAATGCCACTTAGGACAGTGATTAAGTTCACTTATTGGCATATCATTGGCTCTCCGGCTGCTTAAAGAAATGAAATGAAAAATGAAATGAAGTGTAACTGCAAAGAGATATAAATTTCAATAAATGCTATTGTAGCTCTGCCTATAAAATTCTATTGTCTCTCTCCTAATAAACAAACAAAAATAAGGCTTTTTCGATGAACAGTGCATGTTCCCTTTACGTTTGTTTAACCATTATTCCTCCATGTTCTCAATAGTGTTACATTTATAATTATTCATAAAAAAATGAATAGTAATTAAAAAGAGCAAATGCACATGAATTAAGCTTAATGGCTTAATGAATGTAATTCTTATTGCTTTTTTTTATGTTTTTAGAATTATTTTAATCCACGTAAATTATATCATAATTTATTGATAATGATGATGATAATAATAATAATAATTATTATTATTATTATTATTTTAATAATAATAATAATAATAATAAAAATAATAATAATAATAATAATAATAATAATAATAATAATAATAATAATAATAATAATAATAATAATAATAATAATGCAGTTTAATTTAATAATACAAAATTAATAACTATAAAAAGCAAATGTAATAACCTTGCCATGGATAGCATTATTAATTCTAGTTCCGTAAAAAATAATTATGTAAGACTTGTAGCTTAGTGAGTTTTTACTTTCAGTAATTCATTTCTTATATTATTTACATACTTTGCTGCTTACATTTGTATATAGGCCTATTTTACATGAAAATATTGTTGTCTGGTGCAATTGATTTAATAAAGATTTAATAAAGAGATGATATAAATCTTGACGTGTTGCTTGTATTTAATTTCTTGTTTTATTTAATTGTCAAAAGCGGGGGGGGGGTGGGGTAGGAAATCAAAACTGTTTCCAAAAGGAATTGGGCCAATCGATACCTAATTGATTTGTTTTTTTTGTGTTTTTTTATAACCTCTCAGCCGTTTTGGCGATTTGAATGCTATAATTTCCTTTTCTTTACATTTTCTTTTTACTTTCCAAAAGAAAGGGGACCGAGCAAACACAAAACGTTCTTATAACGTTGAGGTTGGGAGGTTTTATGGAGTGGTTAGTGATACGAATGGTCTGATCGGTGATGAGGATTTTACAAATTTTGCAACCTCACATGCGATTCTCACAACATAATTTATTTAATAACATGTAATATTTGTAACAAAGGCAATTACGTTGGCGAAGCCATGAACCCTCTTAGATTCCGCATTAACCAAAACAAACACGACATTAGGAAAAACGCCCCTGACAAAACCGTAGCCCAACATTTTAATTTGCCCCATTACTCAATTAACAATTTGCGTGTTACCATTATCGACTCTAACTTCAACTCCACTCATCATCGCCGCCTTTCTGAACTTTCCTGGATTATCAAGCTTAAAATTCACACTCATGGCCTTAACAAAGATCTTGACTTTCTAGCTGACTTCACCTTTCACCTCTAAACTGTTTATTCTGGCCCATATTCTCCCACCACTGCTATCTCTCTATTTGTCACTGATCTGTAATAGTTTATATTGATTGTTATTTGCCATATACATTTAAGCCTATGCTGTTTAATTAGTCTTTAAGTGCTGTTTTGAGTCATTTCAATTGTAACCCTGAAGAGGGGAAAATTTGGTTTTTTAAATAAAATATATGCTTCAAAGTAGTCACCTTGTGAAGAAAGTTATTTCTGTTCTGCTTACTTATTTTATATATATTGAAGCATACATGGATAGGATATCTTTTGATCATCACCAACATGTTATATATCTGTCTCTTATACACATCTTGAACGTTTGCGAAATTAATTGTGGCTAATGTCAACGTTCACACAACGTTGTAAGAATGTTCAAACGTTGTGAGGTTGTGAAATTAGGTTATACGTACATATGGTTCTACAAAATAACGTTTTTATCACCTAAAACGTAACGTTATTATAACGTTCTTAGAACGTAATTTGTGGCTGGGGAGGAGGGTTGTCTCCTAAATCTGCCCTGCATGTCACCACTCACTAATTTGCATATTTAAGCTAATTTGCAAATGAAAAAAAGGAAAAAAAATAGGCCTAGTGACTTATTCGATTTCGGATGCTTAAATCTAATTGGTGATACTCCAACAAAAAAAAAACTATTAATCATAAAATTCCCATGAAAAACTGGACATCTTGGTGATTGCTCATGCAGAACGAAAACTTCTTTGAAGTTGGAACGTCAACATTCATTGTTGTCTTCTAGCACGTGAAACGAATTCAGCTCTGTTCACATTACGAATGTCTAAACAGGTTGGTTATTCAAATTCATATACTTAAGTATACTAAAGAACTGCACGTTTTTGATTAAATTAAGCTTTTGTTTTTGCAGAATATTTAAAAATCGTCCTGTAGTAGTAGTACGTATTCATAGGCTAGACTACTATTTAGGCTAGCTAGTAGGGCTATACTGTTACTGTACATACATGATACAGGCAGTTGGGGCCTGGCTAGGCCTACGCACTAAACTAGGCAGGCTAGGCCGCTGTGCCTGTTTGAGCTGACTAATCATAACAGGGCTAATTAATAGTCCCTACACGGCCCCACAAATTTGTTGTTCCTCCTTCTAGATAGAAGTAGGCCCTAGCCTAGGCCTAGTACATTTCTTTAATTTAAGCTCTTGTGTTGTAGCTCCATAGCAACAGTATTCAAAGGGCCTGGCTTAGTGGAACCTTATATTTTGTGTTTTAATTGAAGTTTTCAGAATACTGTAGGCCTAAACTATATATCAACAGTTCAGTTGAGTACTGTAACCTAAAAATTGGTGTGGGCAGCGATGCTGGAAGCAGTAATGGTGCCGGCAGCAACGATAGCACCGGCAGCATAGGCAGCGATGACAGCAGAGTAAGAATAGCAATGGAAAACCAAATCTGCCAAAAATATGTAGCCAATTCCCATCCAAGCTAAACCCAAACCTTTCAATACAAAGTCAAATGTAAGGAAGCAAATTCATACAAAACCAAATCATAAATCAGAAAAACCAAATCATTCGTTCAAAAACGAATTCATCCACTATAAAGCAAAATCATTCATCCCATACCCAAGCGTATGTTGTCCAAATCATTTAATTCAAACACAAATCATGTGCAATGGAACACAAAATTATCCAAACGGAAACCAAATCATTTGAGTAAAGGCTAAACCACTCAGTCTAAACTCAAAACATACGCATGATTCGAACATATGTTTTTAACCAATCTGATAAAAGGCCATGCCATTCAATCAAAACTTTAGCAGTCCTACATAGAATGAAATGATCCACTGGAACTCATATAAACCACAGTGAAGTAAACCGATCCAATGTAAACTCGAACAAACCAAGGTAGATGCAGACCGTTAATCATTCGTTGTAAAGTGAAGTCATTTGTTCTAATCCCAAACAAGAAGATGACGTCATTACTATTGGTGTAGTGTGAAGATTTCAAAAACAACTTGACCCTGTAAATTTTTTATCCCAGATGATTTTTATTGAGCATTTTGATAATTTTAACTAGGTGTAAAACTTTGCTCTTGGAAGGCACCAATAATAATAATTATTATTATTGTTCTTTTTATTTACAGCTTCTCAAAGGCAAAGAGGCGACTTAAAGTTAATGGAGTATATCAACTTTTCAGATTTAGAAATCAGTGAGTATTAATGCGGTTTTCCACTATAAGGTGAATTTATTTGTGTGACACAAAGTCTTTCTGTGAAGAAAGTAATTATTTTCCACTACACTTAGTAGTACTGTAGTTGGAAAATTATATTTCAACTGTAAACGACTAGGTGTCCATTTTTGTATATCGTCATCAAACCAACTCAATATACGCTTGCCTTTACATGTTCAACTCAAATAAAATCTCTGTTCCTGAGCACCTTATATAGTATAACGTCAGTACCATCTCGGTTCCTGAACTCAGTTCAGCAACCAATGTGGTATATTATACCACATTGGTTGCTAACACTTTCATCACAAGACCATTGGGTATGTCCTGCTCCCCATACAGTCAAAAACTGAAAAATGTAAAACCCCACTGGGCTCAATACAGTACCATGCAACTATAACCTGTTAATAAATATCATTTCACACACTATCATTCTTAATTTGAATTCAGGTAAGTACAATTTCAAGTTACTTTAATAATCTCGACTCTCACTGTAAAATATATTTTAAACAAAATAACACCAAGCTTCCATTTGCTATTTCTGGCTCTTCAGTCCTCATACCTTGAACAAGCTTTGCCTCTGCTCTTTGTAGCATTCCACTGCCTAACCCACTCCTTTCTTTTGGTTAACACATTAACATGGACACACTTCAGTAACATGGACTTATAACAGAGTGCCATTTACTGTGAGCTAATTTAATAACTTGAACTCATTAATATTGATTAGCAATTTAGCTACAACTGGATACAGTGCACAATCAACTTTTATATTTCGACGGGTGACGACAGATTTACTTTCGATTACGTTGTTTTATCTTAAGAAAATGCGATTTGACAGGAAACCAATTGCGACTGGTGCGTTGTGAAATCGACGTAACGTAAAGTAAAATCGTCGCAAAACAGTTTTGGACAGGAAACCGTCGATTTTTCACTATTTGACAGGAAACCGTGATTTAATGACTTTTTAGTTCCTATGCATGTAATGCAATAGGAACTATTGTAATCACTCTTGCTATTTCCTATGTTTTTTATTGTGTGTAGTGTGTATGTGTGTGTGTAGACATTTATGCAAAATGCGCATGCGTCAAAGAAAAGTTTTCCGACATTTTGTTTTACATCACGTGTGTGTGTGTAGACATTTATGCAAATGCGCATGCGTCAAAGAAAAGTTTTCCGACATTTTGTTTTACATCGCGAT